CCCAGGCTGGGGGGCCTTGTGAAGGCGGGCCGCAGCAGGTGCAGCTCCGGAGGGCTGCAGGGAGGGGGAGGTGGCAGGCGCGGGGCCCCGTGCAGTCAGGTCTTCACCCAGGGCCTCTGCCTCTCAGGGAGGTTGGTGCTGTCCTGGAGGGATTGGATGAGTTTGTCTGGGTCAAGAGGACAGTTGAGGGGAGACCCTGGGAGAGGGGAGGGTGGCCTGAAGAGAGTGTGGGGGCTGGTGGTTGAGTGCACCCCTGTGAGTCAGTCCTGCCAGATGAGCCCTCAGCCCCCATGTGACGGGTGGGAGAACCAAGCCTTCCAGTGAAGTGAGCTGCCCAGGAGCGTGCAGGAAGGACCTGGGAGGAAAGCCCAGGTTTTCTGACCACAAGCAGACAAGCAGGCGGTCATGATGGATTAAATCCAGAGCGCCGAAGACAGGGGAGACAAGAGCGGGCTTCCGGCCCCAGCAGCCGGTGCTCAGTGTACAGGAGCTACGGCAGATTTGGGGGAGGATGAGAAGTTTAGTGGGTGCTGCCTAGGGGACCCCGGGGATCCCAGGGCCCTCGGGCTGGCGTCTCCTGGGGTTGATGGCGACCTCAGCGGGCTGCCTGGGGCAGGAGGGGTGCTGGAGCCATCGCACCAGCTCCCCCCATGGCCTTCTGTCCCTGGCGCTCTGCTGGGCTACCAGCCCCTTCCTGCCCCACCCCAGCCCGCACAGCAAACACTAACACCGGACCCAGACCCGCATTAACATGCTCTCCCACCCCCCGCCACTGCTTCCTGCGAAAACCTCCGCTAGACCTGGTTTCTTTCTCCTCTCCGCCATAACACACAGGCACACTTCAGACAAATACAGACGCAGAAGTAGATGGCAGGGCAAGTCCGCAGAACAAGAGATCCCCTGCACGTTCCTCTCTGTCAGCGGTCCCCACGGTGGCCTGGCCGTACCTAGCCCGTTAGGACAGGAGCTGTCCCCTGCTCCCTGGCACGTCCACCACGCCCCGTTCTCTCTCCCTCGCTGTGGCCCACACACACATGGGAGTTTCAGATGACACGCGCGCTCCTCACCTCCGTGCTGAACTCCTGGGCCATCGTGCTGGAGAGGCCATCTGGACCTGGCCAGAGACCGGCTCCTATACCCTCCCCTCTCTCCTCTCCAGGCACCTGGCAGGCCGATGACAACATTGTCAGTCGTCGGAACACTCAGCGTCGGCGCTTATCATCCAGCAGCCTGGAGGACCCCGAGGACAGACCCTGCGTGTGGGGTCCCTTGGCCGTCTGAGAGCCCCAGCCCGTGCACCTGGGCTCCCTCCGGCCCCACCTTCCATCCCAGCCTCACTGGGCTGCTGGCCTCCTGGGTGTCCTCCGCGAGAGCATGAAGACTGCATCCAGATGAAAGCTGGACATGGAGGTCCGCCTGCTCCCGCTCCCAGCCAGGTCTCCATAACCATGCCCCTTCCCCTCCCAGAAGGATCTGGAAGCCTCCTCTCTCCTTGTGGGCTGGAGCCTCTCAACGAACTGCAGCTCAGGAGACCCTTTGCAGAGACTCTGTGGAACGTCTTCCCCCAATCTGGATCTTCAGGGGGAGCCGAGGTCCACAGGCTGCTTGTTTCCCATCTTTCTCTCCTTTGGGGCGTACCGACAGGACCTAGAGTTTTGGCAGCTTCATTACAGACACCCGTCTGGCATATTCTGGTCTCTGAAACATCATAAGCAATTTGAACCCTCCATTTGAGGGTGGAGCTGGGGATGGCTCCTGGGAGAAGAGAAAGCCATTTTGCACTCAAACCCAAGTTTCCCTCAAAAAGCGTTAGGAGGTCCTTTGTCAAGGATGAGAAACGGTGGCAACCAAAAGGTTGGTTGAAAAAACAGTTCTTGCTTCTGGTCACAGAGCTAGTGTCCTGTGCCTCGTGTGTCCGCTTAGAGAGGAGGCCTTGGATCTGACAACCCCCCCAGGTACGTGATCCCCCTTAGGAGGGCCGTTTATGGTCAGGGGCGTTTATGAAGGCCTGGGATGCCATCTTAAGGTGACTTTTCAAAAAAAAAAAAAAAAACACACATTTTTGGCCCCTTCTATGTGCCAGGCACTGTGTTAGCTGCCCTATAGTTTTACATTTCCTCGCTGTACCCCGTCAGGTGGCATCCTACACCTGTTGTCCCTGTCTTCGCCCCTTTGTGTTAATAGTTGAAGAAATAGGCTGAGGGAGGGGTGGCACAGTGACCCCCACACTGGTGCCCAGGAATCCAAAAGGAAGTGCTGGAGCCCACTGCTAGCGGTGATGGGGAGGCCTCCCTGTCCCTCGGGGTTTCCTTCCCTGTTTCCTCCCCTGCCTTCCAGATCCACTGAGCCTGGGGCGGGGGAGGTAGTCCTTCCCCAGGCTCTTTAGAGATTCAGAGATACTGTTCAAGCCGTGTGCCCCCGACCCCTCCAGGGCCCCATGTAAGGCGCGTAGACAGAAGTCAGAAACAGCAAGGCCAGGCTGTAAACCATTGGGACTTACTCCTTCTCCCTCAGCACCGGTGTTGCCAGTTGGTTCTAGCTGGTTCTTGGACAGATGTGTTGTTGACTGGCTTTGGGAAAAGGTGGCCTCCTAGCGGAGCATGAGCTCGGGAACCCAGGTCAGACACAGCCACTTGTGAGGCCGAGACGCCGCAGGGCCTTGGGCTCTGCCCATCGTGACGGCCTGTCTTCATATTTGGAGTCGTTACCCTGAAGGAGTTTTTCAGGGCTGCTTCCAACACCCCAAAGAGAGCCCAGTGCCCGGGGAATCTTCACACCTTCTGTGTGGCTTCTTTGCACTGTCAGGCTTCATGGTTATGCCTCAGGTCCTGCCCTGGTTGGGGGAAGGCCTGTTGTCCTGATAGACATGACATCAACCAAGCCGGAATCAAAGCTTCTGTCTTGAATCCCCATGTCCCCCTCTCCCTCCGAGGTCCTGCGGGGGACTCTGCTGCTTCAGGCCCTGGCCTTTTCTTTCCCCCAACATTCCTCCAGCCCCTTTTGTGTTTGAGATTGGAGCAATAACCCCACTCCTGATTTCCTTGAAGTTTAAGCCCCAGGGAATGGGGAGCGTCCCTTAGCCTGGGGCGGTGGCACACAGCCTCCCCTCCTCTCCTAGCAGGTCATGTAGTCACGGTGTGGTGTTACCTGAGGTGAAGGAGATGCAGGTAAACAGTAGCCACGGTGGCCAGGAACCCTGAGAGGAACCCATTATCACCGTCTTCTGAGGAGGGCCTGCCTGTGTCCTTCCTCATAGCACATGCTGGGCCCTCCCCCCAGCAAGAGGCTCACGAGGATTCTTCAAGGCCTTGGTTCCATAATCGAGACATGCCTGGGTTAGAAATGGCCCTTTCACTCCTGTTCCTCAGACCAATCCTCCATCTCTCTCTCTCTCTCTTCTCTTTCCCCTCTTTGTTGTTATTTGGCTCTTAGGCAAGCAGAAATATCCCACCCAAAGTTGCCGGTCGTTAGTCAGCCCGGTCAGGGAATAGCTGCCAACCCTATTGCCCCACTGCGTCACCCGGAGACCGTCGAGTTCCGAGCAGCTGACCCAGAGAGAAGGGGCTGGGGCCTGGCTCTTCGCTCCAGGGCGCAGACCACCTGGAGGCCTGTGGCTCCTCCCACCAACTCCAGCCCAAGGTCTGAGCTCTCTGCTGGCCTCCAGGTGGTGTGGCCATCCTGGCCTTTTTTCCTTCCTCACCCAGTTCCACCCACAGAATTTATGCCCACGCTGGGGCATCTCCTGGGCACAGACCCACACACTTCGACCCGTCTCACCTGGGGAGAGTCGTGTCCTGCCACCTGACACTGGCATGCCGGTTGATCACTTCACTTTAGGACCTGCGCACCTGGTGTGCGCACATGTGTGTGTGTACTGTTTGTGCCATCCGTGTACCCCTCTCACTCGCTGGAGTACACTCGTGGGCACGCTACAGTGGGGACATCAAGGATGCAATATTTATGGATTGCTGCATGATTCTTAAAAACGAATAAAACTGTTTACAAGGGAAGGAGAGCTGGTAATTGTGCCCTTGGCTTGTTTGTGAAAGTCTCTGACTTTGTCCAGTGCTCAAATATTTTTACTCAAGAGAATCTAGAAGTGGAGGAGTGGGAGAGGACAAGGGGTCGGGAAAGCCATGCTCCCGGGTGGGAGGTGGGAGTTGACGTGCCCCCCACCCCACCCCCCATGGCACAGGCTTCCCACCCCGCCCTCCTGCTTCTGGGCAGAGGCATGAGTAAGGAGCCCTCACCCTACCCTCACCCTTGAACTGGATAACTTCTGCCACTGCAGCTCCTCAATAATTGAAGAGCCCGAAAGCTGGTGGCGGGAGGGACGCAACCCCTAGTCCCTGCTACTTAAAAAGTTGGTGACACTAACGGGGCAAATGACCCTGCGAAGAGAATTCGGCGAGTCCGTGGCTTCTCTGAGTTTCACTCACCCGCTCAGTTTCCTCCGCTATCTGAAAAGGAGGGAAAGCCCTTCCGCAGAAGCCTCTGGAAAGTCAGCTTCCGGGAGCCTTGCGGAGTACAGGGCTGGGGAAGGAGCCGCTTACCGGGAAACCCTACCCGCCTTGGGGCGTCTGGGATCCGTGCAGCCCCGGCGGCGGACCCGAGCGGCAGGTGGCATCGGAGAGTCGGGCCTGCTTGCGGGCACCGAGACGACGCTCGGGGTCGGGAGGGTGGGAAAGGGCAGAGAAACGTGAGCCCAGAGGAGAGGAAAGGAAACCCCAAGCACACGGTGCCCGAGCCCGAACCCGCTCCCAGTCTGGGCCGCCCCGGAGCAACCGGGACGGAAGGGAGCAAGGCCGGGAGAGCGGCGGCGGGGGCAAACGGCTCGCGGGCGTGCCCTGCGCCTCGGGCGGGAGCCGCGCGCCTCTCCCGAGCCCTGCGCGGGGCCCTCGGGCGGGAATGCGCGGACCCGGGACGCGGTGGCGGGTAGGGGGCTGGGTGGCGCGGGAGAGGGCGGCAGAAGGAGGGAGTTCCAGGAGAGTTACCGCCCGAGAGAGTGGCTAGAGCCCGCGGTCTCCTTGGAAACGTGCTGACCAATAGCAGCAGCGGAAGCTGTTTATGGGGGCGGAGCGTCGCCATGACAGCAGAAGAAGCCTTTGCAGCGGCTACTTAATGCCGGTCCGGGGGCTACGGGCGCTCAGAGAGGCGCCGTCGGGCGGGGGGGGCGACAAGAGGCGCTGGCGGGGCCCTCGAGCTGGGAACAGAGAGCCGTGGGGGGTGGAAGGAACTTCTTCCAGAACCTTCCTTTGGCCCGGGCTGCGCTCTGAGCCAGGTAAGGGACTGAGACGGCAGCGGCCGCGGGAAGGGAGGGTGTCCGTACAAGCCCGCTCTACCATCCGCCCTCGACGGAAGTGGTGGACCCGGGAATGACATCTGAGTTTGGGGGACACTTACTTCTCGCCCCACTCTAACTCCTAACCTGTTTCCTTCCTTCCCTATTATCCCCCATCCTAATACCTCTTTTCAAAGACCAGACGACCTCCCCGTCCCCCGCCCGGTGATACTGCCCTCCCGGACTCCCTCGCCCCATTTCCACTTGTTGAGGGGAGGGGGGCTGATTTCCAGCTCTGGAGGAAAAGGTGATAGCCTCAGAGGCCCCTTCGCTGTCCCCTCCTTTGGCTACCAAAGTCTCTTCTAAAACCTCGGAGAGAAAGGAGAGACGGGCCCAGTGGGGGTCGGACCCCCACCCCGGCACTGCTTCTGTCTCCCAGACCTCGGCCAGAACAGATCCTCCCCAGAAGCGGGGACGATTTTCGGGGAGCCTCTGCCTCGCACGCACGCTCCCCTCGGGTGTGGGGGAAAGCGCTCAGCTCCCGCTGTGGTCCTCCCCAGCAGATACCGCATTCATATTCGGAGGAGACGACCCCCTGGTCGCCGCGGGATGGAAGCGCGCGTCCGGGAGGCCCTGTAACTGGAGCCGCGGCAGTCAGAGAGCTAGAGAGCGCGGCGCGCTACCCCCGGCTCAGCCCGTGGATGTTGACCGCCCCCTCGGAGAGTCCCCGCAGACATGGCGGAGAGCTGGCTACGCCTCTCGGGTGCAGGGGCGGCGGAGGAGGCCGGGCCAGAGGGCGGTCTGGAGGAGCCCGACGCCCTGGATGACAGCCTGACCAGCCTGCAGTGGCTGCAGGAATTCTCCATTCTCAACGCCAAGGCCCCCGCCCTGCCGCCGGGGGGCACCGACCCCCACGGCTACCACCAGGTGCCAGGCTCGGCCGCGCCGGGGTCCCCGCTGGCGGCCGATCCAGCCTGCCTGGGGCAGCCGCACACTCCTGGTAAGCCCACATCGTCGTGCACGTCGCGGAGCGCGCCCCCGGGGTTGCAGGCCCCGCCCCCCGACGACGTGGACTACGCCACCAACCCGAATGTGAAGCCGCCTTACTCTTACGCCACGCTCATCTGCATGGCCATGCAGGCCAGCAAGGCCACCAAGATCACCCTGTCGGCCATCTACAAGTGGATCACGGACAACTTCTGCTACTTCCGCCACGCTGATCCCACCTGGCAGGTAGGGGAGGCGCTGGTGGCGGCCGCTCCCTCCCCGCTCCCCTCCTCCCTCCCCAAGCCAGGGCGGACTGGACTCAGGTTCCAGGTCCGCACGCCAAGTAGGCTTGGTGCAGCCAGGGCCCAGGGGAGGAAGGCCATCGAGGAAGGACCTCAAGGGAGCCTAGGGCTTGGAACTGTCCCTCCTTTGACATCAGAAAGGGAGGAGGGAGGATATTTAAAGGGCTTTAGAAAGGATGCGGACCCCGAAATTCATGGGGGAAGCACCTGTCACTCATCCAGTAGACCCAGCCCAGAGGCCAGGGCCAGACTGTGTGTGCACATGGTCCCCTAAGAGGATGATGGACTAAGGGACACATTTTTGTCCCAAGTCCTCGAGTTCCTAGACACCGCCCCGCCGAAGGTCACTTGTCAAGGCCCGACTCAGAATCAGATTGCTCCAGCCCCTGCCAGGCTCTGCATCCTGTCTTGTTTCAGTGGGCTGGCAGAGGTTGGGGCTGGGGAGAGGCAGTGGGGTGTGAAGGCCAGCTGTGTCCCAGCAGTGGGTCTATGGAGCCTTCCTAAAGTAAAGCTGCTGCCCCAGCCCCTCACCCCAACTCCTCCCCAGTTTCCTGCCTCCTGTCCTCCCCCTCTTCTCAGTCAGCCTCCCTGGGGGGACAATTACCTGAGCCAGGTGCTTTCCACAGGGGCTCTCCCTGCCGCACTGGCTTCATGTTCCAAGTCTCCGGAACCTGGCGCAGAGCAGCCAAGGGGCCAGAGCCTCCATGTAAACATCCCAGCCTTGCCAGGGGGCGCGACCCACCCACCCACCCTGCCTTCTGGGCTCTAAAACCCTGTCCGCCAGCATGGTTTGGACAAAACGATGCACCCAGGAATGAACAAGGCAGGATGGTGATCTGAGGCCACGCAGACACGAGTCTGCCGCCATCAGAATCAGGGGCTACTTAGGGACAGAGGCCCCAGAACATCCGGACTTTTCCCGGGGGCTCCCGCAGGGAGCAGACCGCAGAATGGCAGTCCCAGACTCTTCCCCATTTGTGTGGGCCCTGACTCTGGGGCAAGCGCCATTTGTACCCTCAGTGAGAAAGCAGAGACACCCCCAGGCCCCACTCTCCCAGAAATCTGTGGAGTTCAGGGCCTCAGGAACGAGGGCTGTGCTCTAGGCTGGGTAATCATCAACTGTGGCCTCAGAGCCTGGGTGGGAGGAGGGGGCCATGCGGGCGAGGGCCCAGGCTGGCAGGTAGCCGGCTCAACAAACAAGGAAAAGTCATTAGGTCCCCCCACACTTCATCTCTATACGCTCCCTCACACCCCGGCTAGCCCCGTTCCCCGCACCCCTGCCTCAACCCACCCACTCCCTTCACAAACAGAGAGGGCCCGCCAGGCCCAGGCTGAGTGAGATGGCCGTCCAGGCCCTGGGGGAGCTGAGGCCTTTGGCCAGAGGCCGCAAGCGGTGGGGTAAGGGAGGGAGGGCAGGGTGGGGTGGCACGGCGGCGAGCCACCCCGCGGCTCAGGGCTCGGATGACTGAGCAGGCAGATATCCCGGCAACAGGGAACAAAAGCCCCGACAGCACTCCCGGCTCCCGGTGCCCAGTGGCTGGTGTCCCAGAGCCACTGGTCAGAGCGGTGCGTCCGTCCCTCCTCCCGTGTGGCCAGGAGCGCCCGTTGCCCCCCATCGCTGGCCCTTCCCACTCACCCAGCGACCTCTTTCTCTCCTCTCCCCCCGCGCCCAGAATTCCATCCGCCACAACCTCTCCCTGAACAAGTGCTTCATCAAAGTACCCCGGGAGAAGGACGAGCCGGGCAAGGGGGGCTTCTGGCGCATCGACCCCCAGTACGCCGAGCGGCTGCTCAGCGGGGCCTTCAAGAAGCGGCGGCTGCCCCCGGTCCACATCCACCCGGCCTTTGCCCGCCAGGCCTCGCAGGAGCCCCGCGCCGCCCCGTGGGCCGGGCCGCTGACCGTCAACACCGAGGCCCAGCAGCTGCTGCGGGAGTTCGAGGAGGCCACCGGGGAGGCGGGCTGGGGGGCGGGCGAGGGCAGGCTCGGCCATAAGCGCAAACAGCCGCTGCCCAAGCGGGTGGCCAAGGTCCCGCGGGCCCCCAGCACCCTGCTGCTGACCCAGGAGGAGCAGGGCGAGCTGGAGCCCCTCAAAGGCAACTTTGACTGGGAGGCGATCTTCGAGGCCGGCGCCCTGGGCGGCGAGCTGGGCGCGCTGGAGGCCTTGGAGCTGAGCCCGCCGCTGAGCCCCGCCTCGCACGGGGACGTGGACCTCACCGTCCACGGCCGCCACATCGACTGCCCCGCCACCTGGGGGCCTCCGGGGGAGCAGGCCGCCGACAGCCTGGACTTCGACGAGACCTTCCTGGCCACGTCCTTCCTGCAGCACCCCTGGGACGAGAGCGGCAGTGGCTGCCTGCCCCCGGAGCCCCTCTTCGAGGCCGGGGACGCCACCCTGGCGGCCGACCTGCAGGACTGGGCCAGTGTGGGCGCCTTCTTGTAAGAGGCCGGGCCCCGCCCCACCTCCGGACAGTGCCCAGGTCAGGGCCCAGACTGCCCCCCAGCACAGGCCCCCGGGGACACCCTACCGCCCAGGCGGGGGCTGGGCCAGGTCTCCCGAGGCTGGCCCCACGAGGCCCCACGGCCCCCAGCCCAGGCTGCCCTCAGATTCCGGCCCCGGAGGCTGAGAACGGGGGAGGGGGGGCCCAGGTCCAGAATTGCTGCCTCCCCGGCCCCCCCGCCCCCCATACACACAGTGTTTCATGGCTCCTCCTCTCGCCAGCCCCCCGCAAAGGGCTCAGGGCCCTGCCCTATGGGAGCTGCACCTGGAGGGGCCCTGGCCAAGCTGGGGAGCAACGGCACAGGGCCCGCCCCAGGGCACCTCAGCTTCGACACCTCTCCCTCTCCCGCTGTCCTCCCCAGGTCTCTATCCAGAAAAAGTTCCCGGGTACAACAAATGCTAATTAGGTGACAGCAAATTAACCCCCTGGAGGCCTCTCCCGGCAAAGCCTCCCTGGGGCTGGGGAAGGGTGGGGGCGGGGTGGGGCTGGGGGGGAGGAGGCAGAGGGCCCTCGCAGAATGGGGTCGGGGAGCCCGGAGGACAAGGAGGTTTTCTCGGGCCCCTGGGGTCTTCTCCTGGCCCCATCCCTGGAGCTGGGGCAGGGAGCGTAAATCCCTAATCTTTGAGCCTGACCTGAGGCAGAGTGCAGCGGGGAGTTGGGCTTCTGGGGGGTTGGGGGCAGGGGCAGCAGAGCTGCGGTGGGGAGGACAGACAGACTAATGTAGTGAGTGTAGCGATAGCCGAGGCTTAACAGGGAGGGATGCAGAGCTTGCTAGAACCTCTGGGACCAGGAAGGCGGGGATCACCGGCATCCTCGTCTGTACTTGCTGGGGGCGAGTCTCCCTCTACCCGGAGCCCCTCCGTCCCCGTCCCGCAGCCACCCTCCTGCCCTGTGGGGCAATTTAACCTTTTTCATGGAAAGTTATTTACAATAAACACATTTTTAAAAATAAAATGTTTAAAACTCTGAAAATGGACCTGCTTGCAACTTTAGGGCCAGTGTGGGAGGAAGGAGGTCGTTCTCTTCACTGCCAGAGGGGGAATGGCTGGGAGGAAGATGGGGGGCGCCGAAGACCTCAGGAGTCCCTCTCCGATGAACTCCCCATGACCTCTGTGTCCCCAGGGAGAAAGGGGCTGAGAGGCAGCCCCCTGGGGTCCCCTCCAGCCTGGGGCCTCAGCACCTCCATCTGCACAATGGGGAGAATGGCACCCTCAGCCCTAGGGAGTGGGCGACAAAGGAGACACAGCCCCCTCCCTGGTCCTGGGGACTCAGCAGGGGCCGAGCCCGCCCAGGGCCCAGCTCACGTGTCCCTGACCGCCAGGGCCTGCCCGGGCTCGCCTGTCTTGAGTCTGCGGTCCCGGCCCAGGCCTGTCTCCAGCACCACCCTCCCTCAGTCCTCTCCTGAAGGGACAGGGTGTGAAGCCAGAGAGCCCCAGCCTGGCGTGTGCTCACCACCTTGTGCCTTCCCTCCCAGGCCCAGGGCAGGCTGGAGGAGAGGGAAGGCCACTGGGGAAGTCAAGGTGCCCAGACCCTGCTTCCCCACTCGCTCACACCAGCAGGTGCGCTCCAGGAGGGACCAGAGTCCCGAGGAGGAAACCAAGGCACAGGAAATGTGTGTGGGGGTGACACACAGCGGCACCTTTTCCTCCCAACACCCCAGCTTTGTCTGGCGCCCACTTCTCCACCCAGCCCCCTTCCACACACGGGGCACAAATGGGCACTGTCTCGCACAGCCCTGCTCAGCCTCCACGGACCCCTTCCTCCCGAAGCCCCTTTCTTTCCCTTCTTTCAAGTCTGGCTCTAGGCCAACCTGGCATTCCCAGTGCTAACTTGCGGCTTTCAATTGCTAATTATTCCAAATATTTCATGAGGGCGCACACACTGCTGGGCCAGCGGGGTGGGGCCTTCCTGAGCCCAAAGCCAGCCCACCCCCGCCCACAGCAGGCTGAGGAGGTCTGCCCTCCGCTGAGACTCTCTTCACCGCCCCCCAGCGACTCCTCCCTCCCTCTCCCCACCACCCACCAGCCTTTCTCTCTACAGTGCCCAGCAGAGGCCTTCTCCAGGGAGCCCCAGGGTCAGCCTCCAGCTCTGGCCAAAGGTTGGGGAGTGGGGCCTGGGCATTAGCATTTTTAAGGGTCCCCACATGCTTCCAATGTGCAGCAAAAGCGGGGAGGCTCTTCTTTTTTTTTTTTTTAAATATTTTATTTATTTATTTATTTGACAGACAGAGATCACAAGTAGGCAGAGAGACAGGCGGGCGGGGGGGTGGGGAGCAGGCTCCCTGCTGAGCAGAAATGTGAGGCTCGATCCCAGGACCCTGGTATCATGACCTGAGCGGAAGGCAGAGGCTTTAACCCACTGAGCCACCCAGGCGCCCCATGGGGAGGCTTTTCTGAAGGGGCTGGGCCCCTGGGCTTGGCGTGTGCGCTCTCAGCCCACAGCATCAGGGAGTGTGGAGAAAGCACGCACCTGCCACTTATCCCTCCCATCCATCCCTTCTCTGGCCCTTGGCCGGGTGGCTTTTTAACAAAGGTATTCATTTACCTTATATTTATTTATAAATTCAATGTAATCCCAATCTAAATAGATTTCACACCATTTCCCAGTAAGTTGCTGACCTGATGCCCGTAGCACTAAATACATTGGCGTCTGTTTCTTTCAAATAAGGACTTTCCCCTGTAAGCCCAGCGCCACCACGGCAGCCCGGAAACGGAGGCGGCAGATGGGTGACCCCACAAACCGCAGACCCCCATTCACATTTTGCAGAACGCCCCACCCCCAGCCTCCCACATCTAGTGAGTGGTCCTATGTCTTTGTGACTTTGCCCCCATGACCCAAGCTCTCCAAGCAGGCTCCTCGTGTCCTCTGATCCCCCCCCACCTTTGAGGTGAGAAGCCCCCGGAAACCACTTCATGCTTGAGTCTGGGGACAGCACCTTCCGAAAGCAAGGAGGCAGCCTCCAGCCTTCGGACAGGCCACCTTTTCTGCCCTCCTCCCTCCAAGTGTCCCCCCAGCCAGGAATGTGATGGGGGGATGGGCAGAAGCTCAGACCTTGGGAGCCTCCCACTCCCTGCCTCAGTACATCCCTGTTCCATGGGAGAGGCCGCCCCCCAGCACCCCCAAATCACTTTCCATGTCTGGAGGACCCCCCAACCCCACGCCCCACTCTCCGGCCAGGCCCCCTGCAGAGCCGAGGGCGGGGCTGGCTCTCTACCCCACCCCCACTCCAGGACCCACACTTGCAGGAGGAGGAAGGTGAGAGTTGGGGAGAGGTGGGCAGGGTCAGGAGATCTTCCATCCCGGGCAGAGGCCCAAAGGCAAACAGGTGTATTTGGATTCCTGGCAGGGGGCAGTGGGCTGGCCGCATGGGGCAGGCCTGGGCCTGTCCAGGGTGGGGATGTGGCCAGGAGACCTTCATTAACAATGGGGCGGCCAAGTGGCCCCAGGTCTTGCTGACACAGTCTTGTGTGATGAAGAGGAAAACACAGGTGAGAAGGGAGGGGAGAACCCTGGGGTAGGGGACAGCACTTTGTGAAGCCATCCACGCTGGGGACACCCCTCTGAACACTTGTATGACAGCCCTGGGGGAGGGGAGTCACCTTCCTCCTGAGGCCCAGGTGTCCATCCCAGGTGCCAGTCGGTGGCCCCTCCCAGGTGGGACAGGTCAGAGCCACCACCATGGAAGGTGTTGGGCCCGGACTTGCCCTGGGTGTCAGGAGCAGGCAGGGCCCAGCTGGCGGGCACTGCCCCCCAGAAACCAACCGGCCTGAGCTGACCGAGTGAGGTGGGTGCACATTAACCAGGGGGAGCGACCGAGACGGAGGTCTCAATTTGCCCCCGCGCCCCACTTCCCCCGCTCCCCGCACAACCTGTCACCCTGCCTGAGGCTATCCCTGGGGCTGGCCCCAGACCCTCTTTCCCTCTGAAGGAAGCTGAGCTCCAGGGCAAGCAAGAGCTCCAGGTTCCAGAAAGTGGGGAGGGCAGGCTGCCTACCTACAGCCCGCCCCCCGCCAGGCCTCCAGGGGAGCCTCTGAAGGACTGCCCAGGCCCTCCCAGCCCCCCATTTGCCCAGAAAATGGAGCGGAGGCCCAGAGGCTGCCCAGTCTTCTCTGTTCCCGGCTGAGGCACCACCACTCTGTCAGCCCCCTGCTCCCACACAGGCCACTCAACCTCCTCTACGCCTCACTCTGGGCCCTGAGCCCTTGCCTTTATCCCAGAGGGCATCCCAGTTCCCTCGAACTTGCTCACAGTGGGCTGTGGCCCTGTGTTGGCGGCACAGGCAGGGTGGAACAGAGGGAGCCCCCAGCCCCTGCCTCAGTGTCCAGCCTCTGAACCCTCGAGTCTAGACCCCTGGGGGCAGATGAGCTGTGGGTCTCACTCACCCAGACATTCACAGGCTCGAAGACGGTGCCGTTGTTTCCTAAGTGTTGAACGAATGAAGAGGGCATGAGCGAGCCGTCTAGGTGTATGGGTAAAAAGTAGAAAAACATCCAAGTAGCCTTGGCAAGGTGCCACTGCAGACAGTGAACACGAAGGGGCTCTCTGGAGGCATCGGTGGGGGTTAAGAAGGTTCCAGAAGCCCCCAGGGCAGGGAGGTGGTGGTGAAAGTGCTCAGGCCAAGGGGATCTTTGAGAAAAGCTCCAGTCCACCCTATTCTGGAAACAAGTAAGAGGCCCCTTTGCTGAGCCTGTGGGTTGGACTGGGGTAATAAAAGGGCCGGGGGGTCCTGAATGCCAGTGAGCGAGACATGTGGAAGCTGTGGTCGGGGGAGGGCACCCTTGGAGGAAGAAGGAGTGAAGGGAAGTAGAAGAGGCCTGGCCTTCCTCCTTCTTATCTGCCTCAACCCCTCCCCCACCAGGGGCCCGAGAGCCACGACTGGTGTGGACCAACAGGCCGGCAACGAGATCACCAGAACAAAGCAGGACCCAGCCCCGCCATCCCAGCTGTCCCTGGGCACTGGGACGGGGCCCTGGGGCCGCTGAGCCTGACACCCTTGGGGCCGGGCTACTTGGGGTCTAAGTGGAGACCAGGAGCTCTGTGAGGAGGCTGGGAGCCCCCAGAGCCTGGTGTTTGGATAAGATTAACCCTGGCATCATGGGAACTGCCTGGGAGGCTGGGCCAGGAGCAGGCCCTGTCCCCCAGGCCAGGCAAGGCCCGTTTTGGAGAGAGTGTGTGGAGTGTCTAAGCAAGAGGGTAGACCTCACAGAGGGCCACGACTCAACCCCCATCTGTGTTCCCTGAGTCCCTCATCCCTCTAGGCTCCCTACTTCCTGTGCGGGTTTATCAGGAGGGAAGGACAATGAAGGTCTCCCAGCCCCAGAGGGAATCACGCACGGGAAGAGAATCACCAACTGGGTCTGACAATGACCACGCAGAAAGAAGAGGGTCACGAAGAGAGAACAATCTCCACCCTGACCCCCACCCAAACTTCACCTCCTCTGGCCCCGAAGCTCTTGTGTGAAGAAGAGTCTGGGAAAAATCGGATGGGGGACGGAAGCGGAGGGGAGGCAGGAGG